ATCCCACAGATGCATGAGGTTCCATGGGTGTCCTCAAGACCCCTGGATACCCCCAGATCCACCCTAAGAGCCACGGATGTCCCCAGGACCTCCAAACAGTCACAGGCCACAGAGGTGTCCCCTGGACCCACGGATCCCCCGGTTCCCGGCAGATTCCGCGGGACGAAGCCCCCCGGGGCCGCCCCCAGAGGCGGGGAAGCCGCGGGGCCCGGCGGGACCTGCCCTGGCACGCCGAGGGCGGCGGCCGGATCCAGCGCCGGGAGAGGAAGAGGAGGAAGAGGAGGCCGGGGAGGGAGCGGGGCCCCCCGGTGAATCACCCCCCAGGAATGTGCCCGGACGCCCGGGCTCAGCGGCGCGATGGGTCCGGCGGGACGGGGCAATTTCGGGACGGATGTGCCCCCCAGCCCCCGGCTGAGCACGGACGGGCTCGCGGCGTGGCCCGGGAGGGCCAGGTCTGGGGGGGGACCCCAAAACCTGCCTGGGGGGACCCCAGAACCTGCCTGGGGGGACGCGGGTGGCTGCAGCGTCCCCCCCGCGCCGTGCCCGGGCTCAGGAAGGATGCCGGGGCGGATATCCCGGTTTTCCTGAGGCTGGAAATCCCCCCCGCGAGCCTCCGGAGAGCGGAAAGCTGCCGGAGCCAGAGCCGGAGCGGGCGGGGGTTCCCCGCCGGTGCCCCGGGGGTGGCTCTGGGGACAGTCCCGGGGCCGGGGCTGCTCCAGGGGCGCAGCAGCCGCGGGAGCTCCCGGGACAGCGCCGGGGCCGCAGCCCCGTCCCGGGAGTCACCTGTACCACCGCCACCATCATCATCATCAAATCCTCCATCGCCTTCGTCGCCCGGCCACGGCCGCCCCCACCTCCAGTGCCACCGTGATGTGGGCACCGAGCCTATGGCCACCCTCAGCGCCACCCCCGCGCCCCGGAGCGGCACCCCCGTCCCATTCCCTGTCCCCTGCCCTGCCCTAACCCTGTCCCGATCCCAATCTTTGTCTGAATCCGAATCCCATCCCGTTCCCAAAGTGAACCCCAACCCCATCCCTCTGCTCCCATTCCTGTCCCCATCCCAATCCCATCCCCGTCTCAACCTTAACGAGAATCCCGATCCCAAAATGAATCCCATCCCCTCCCCATCCTCATCCCAACCTTGCCTCCTCAATCTCAATCTGAACCCCAATCAAAATCACAAAATTGATCCCATCCCAGCCCCAACCCCTCCTTAACCACCTCCCCACCTCAGCTCACCCCAAATCCCAGTAGATCTCACCGAGGGGAACCAATCCCCTCGAAATCCCCAAATCCCACCACTTTCCCTTTCCCCCCACGCACTTTTAAAACCTCAAATCCCAACATTCCCTCCTGGGAAAGAGCGCTTTGGGAACACACCCCAAATCCCACAGCTGCCACAGGGTCACCCCCTCTGCTGTCCCCTCAGCACTTCCAAAAATCCTCATTTTAGGGTTTTTTACCCCATTTTTAGTTTTTCAGGGAGTATTTTCCATCCCAGCCTCTGGTTTATTTGCATTTGGGGCCGGATTCTTCCACTTTACCCTCAAAAAGTGACGGACTAAAGCCGTCAAACAGAGTTTATAGAAACTCAATCCTAAAAAAATTCCAGATATAGATAAAAAAAGTGAATTTCCCCCTTTTCTTTTGCCCAAGCCTGCCAAACTAAGCCCCAAAATCACTGGGGGAAGGGTTGTGAGGTGGAGGCCGAGACGCTGCTTGTTTTTTCCCAGCAATTTTTTGGGATTTTCCTGACATTGTTTTCCAGCTCTCCGGCCGGATCCTACCCGACCCTGCACCACCCATGGGAAACGCTCCATTTTAAGGTGATTTTCCCCTTTTTGGAGGGTTTATTTTTTAATCCCCCCCACCTTCACCCCTGTGCCAGCCTCTTTTGGGGGCTCCCAGCAGGACCTGGCCCTGGTGCGTTGGTTGGACGCTCGGCATGGGAAAAGTTGCCCCAAACTCTGGGGTTTCACCTCATTTTAGCTTTTTTTCTCCCAATTTAAATTTCTTTCTCCTCTATTCTAGTTGTCCCCTCCTTTTAGCTTTCTCCCCCCTGTATTTTTACCCCCATACACCTTTTTAATGCCCCCCCATTCCTTTAACTTTCGCCCCTTAATTTAACTTTTCCCCTTTTAATTTAAACTTCTCCGCCCTCATTTCAACTTTTCCCCTAATTTTAACCTCCCCCCCACCCCAAACGCGCTCCGACACCTGCGGATTCCGCACCGCACCCCAAACTGTGCGGGGGGGAACCGACACCACCCTTCACCCTCAGAGCGCTCCCCGACTGCTCAGCTCCCCCCAAACCACCCGAATTTACCCCAAAACCACCCCGCGCTCGGGGGAGCCCGCAATAAAGGAGTTTCGGGGTGCTCCCCCACAAAAAGAAAAAGTTGGGGACTCACCTTCCTCGGCGGCCAGGGGGCTGAGGGCGGTGAGCAGGAGGAGGGTGAGGGCGGGGGGGGTGCCCGCCATGGCCGGGGGTTTTGGGGGGTCCCGGGCGCGCCCCACGAGCGGCGGCCCCGCGGGGAGTGCGGGGGGTGTGGGGTGCGGGGCCGCGCGCCCGCTCCTGTTCATTCATGCCCCGTGACGTCACCGGCCACGCCCGCTCTTAAAGGCGCAGGAGCCGCTCCCAGTACGAACCAGTACGGCACTGGGAGGGCGCGCGCCCCAGGGTGGGACGCGGCCGGCTGGAGGGGAGGGGGCTGTGCGGGCCCCCCCAAGGTGGGGCACGGCCCTGGGGGTGGTTCGGGGGTCCCGCAGCCCCGTGGGGACCCCCCGGGCCCGGCCCCAAAGGGGTGAACGCGCCCCCCCCTCCCGCCCCCTCCCCTTTCATTCATGAATCGGCGTGGGAAGGGCGGGGGGGCGGCAGCCAATGGCTGCAGGGGGCGGGACCACGCGGTTACTACCGACCACGCCCCCCGCCCACCAGCTCGGTACTGGGGGGTTTGGGGGGACCGGTCTTGGGGGGCTGCCCGGGCCCTCGGGGCCCAGCGCCCCAAATCTTCAGCACCACCGTCCTCATGGACCCGCAGCACCCAAATCCCACGGCACCCCAAATCCCATCACCCACGGCACCCCAAATCCCACAGCACCATAAATCCCATCACCCACAGCACCCTAAATCCCACAGCACCCAAATCCCACAGCACCCCAAATCCCATCACCCACAGCACCTCAAATCCCACAGCACCCAAATCCCACAGCACCCCAAATCCCATCACCCACAGCACCCCAAATCCTATCACCCACAGCACCCTAAATCCCACAGCATCCCAAAGCCTGGATCATCTGTTGCACCCCAAATCCCATAGTGCCCTAATCCCATCAATTCCAGCACCTCAAATCCCGCAGCAGCCGCGTCCCCCTGATCCCGCAGCACCCCAAATCCTGCATCTTCCATAGCATCCCAAATCCCACAGCACCCCCAACCTCTGCAGCACCCACAGCACCCCAATCCTTTCACTTCTAGCACTACGAATCTCCCAGTACCCCAAAACAATTCAAATCCCACAGCACTCCAAATCCTGCACCCCTGCTCCCATAATCCCTCTGCAGCCATATCCCCTAATACCCACAGAGCCCAAAACCTCCAGGATCCACAACACCCCAAATCTGCCAATAGGCCCAGCACCCCCATCCCCAGGATCCCAGTGCACAGCCCCCGCGTCCCCTCCAAGGCCCGCACGTCCCCCTCCGTCACGGCCGCGTGCGGGGCCAGGTCGAATCTGGGGTGGGGAGGGGACACAGGGTCAAGGGAAACGGCAGCGCCCTGGAAAATCCCCCCAGAACACCCGAGATTCACCGGGAGCTGTGAACCCATCGGTGTAGCCAGGTGGGAGTGTCCTCTGCCTGCCCAGGGACTGGGTGGTTTGGAATGTGGGGTGCAAACCTGATTGTGGGGGGGACATGGGGTCAAGGAGACACCAACACCCTGAAAAATCCCCCCAAAACCACCTAAAGAGAAATGGGGATTGTGAATCCCAATATTGGTGCAATGAAGGGTTGCACGTTCTCGGCCTGCTGAGACAACAAGTGCTGAGAGATCTGGGGGTACAAACCTGACTGGGGGGGGACACAGGGTCAAGGGAGACACAGAAAATCCCCAAACCTGACTGGGGGGGGTCACAGGGTCAAGGGAGACCCAGAAAACCCCCTCAAAAATAAGTGGGAGTTGTGACCCAAATAAACCCCCCTAAACCCCCTAAATCGTGCAGCACCCCCATCCCCAGGATCCCAGTGCACCCCACATCCCCTGGCACCTGCAGCACCCCAAATCGTGCAGCACCCCCATCCCCAGGATCCCAGTGCATCCCACATCCCCCAGCAACTGCAGCACCCCAAATCCTGCAAGCACCCCCATTCCATGATCCCACTGAAATTCAAATCCCCCAGGAGCTGCAGCACCCCAAATCCTGCAGCACCCACCTCCTGATGATCCCATTGCACCCCATATCCCCCAGCACCCCAAATCCCCAGTACCCCACTCACCCCAAATTCCCTCACCCCCAGGTCAAGGAGACACCAACACCCTGAAAAATCCCCCCAAAACCACCTAAAGAGAAATGGGGATTGTGAATCCCAATATTGGTGCAATGAAGGGTTGCACGTTCTCGGCCTGCTGAGACAACAAGTGCTGAGAGATCTGGGGGTACAAACCTGACTGGGGGGGGACACAGGGTCAAGGGAGACACAGAAAATCCCCAGGAAATGGGGATTGTGAATCCATTGGTGCAGTGAAGGGTTGCACGTTCTCGGCCTGCTGGGATAGCAAGTGCAGAGAGATCTGGGGGTACAGACCTGACTGGGGGGGGACACAGGGTCAAGGGAGACACAGAAAATCCCCAAACCTGACTGGGGGGGGTCACAGGGTCAAGGGAGACCCAGAAAACCCCCTCAAAAATAAGTGGGAGTTGTGACCCAAATAAACCCCCCTAAACCCCCTAAAATATCAATTGATCTTTTTCGTAGAAAACCACTGATTTTAGCAAAAAAGCACCTTTTTACCCCTCCCACCCCCCAAACCCTCCCCGAGAGGGGGTTCAGGTCCGGGTGTCCCCCGTGTCCCCCGGGGTGACCCCGGCGGTCACTTGGTCGCGCCGCCAGAGCTCCTCCACCAGGGCGTCCAGGACGGGGGCGACCCGGGCCAGCCCCGCCCGCGACTGGGGGGGGTCACAGGGTCAAGGGAGACCCAGAAAACCCCCTCAAAAATAAGTGGGAGTTGTGACCCAAATAAACCCCCCTAAACCCCCTAAAATATCAATGGGAGTTGAGGACCCATTGGTGTAATGAGAGTTGCACATTCTCAGCCTAACAAGGTACTGAGTGGTTTGAAATCTGGGGGTGCAAACCTGACTGGGGGGGATACAGGGTCAAGGGAGACACCAACACCCCGAAAATCTCCTTTAGGGTGGCAAAACCCTCTAAAAATAAGCAGGAGCTGTGAACCCATCGGTGTAACCATTTGTGCACATTCTCAGCCTGCTGAGACACCAAATGCTGAGAAATCTGGGGGTACAAACCTATTTTGGGCTGGGGGTGGGACAAGGAACACCTGGATAAACCCCAAAACCCTGTGAAAATCAGCAGGATTTGGCAATCCACTGGTGTGCCATTCTCACCGCCGTGATGCCATGCACCGAGCCCCCGGGGGTGCAATCCCCCCGCCACGGGGTGACTTTGGGGGACCCCCCAAAAGGATACTTGGTGCCCACGACCACCCTGACGAGGTGGCTGTCCTCGGGGCCCAGCACGCGGCCCATGAGCGCCGGCAGCTCCTCGAAGGACGCGCGGTCCGTGAAGGAGAACAGCAACAGGGCGGCGTCCGCCTCCTCCTTGCAGGCCTGGGCACGGGGACAGCCCTCACCGCGGGGTCCTGGGGGTGTCCCCCCCGCCCCAAAACGCGTCCCCCGCCCCAAAAGGCGTCCCCAGCTCACGGGCAGCAGGTGCTCGAACCTCCTGAGCGCTCCGTCCCCGCAGTCCCAGAGCTGCAGCTGGAACAGGACGGGGCGGCTGCTGCCGCGGGGCTTGGCCGGCCAGAACAGCGTGGTGACCTCGATGCCTGCGGGGACACACGCGACTGTCACCCCCGGGACACCCCCAGACCGCACCCAGGGTCTCGTGGTGGCCTCGATCCCTGCAGGGACAGGGAGACTGTCATCCCCGGGTCCCCCCCAGGACCCCCCGGCCTTGGCCGGCCAGAACAGCGTGGTGACCTCGATGCCTGCGGGGACACACGGGACTGTCACCCCCAGGACACCCCCAGGCCGCACCCAGGGTCCCGTGGTGGGCGGGGTGGCCTCAATCCCTGCAGGGACAGCGTTACTGTCACCCCCAGGGCCACACCCAAGGTGTCGTGGTGGCCTCGATCCCTGCAGGGACAGGGAGACTGTCATCCCCGGGTCCCCCCCAGGACCCCCCGGCCGTACCCAGGGTCTCGTGGTGGGCGGGGTGGCCTCAATCCCTGCAGGGACAGCGTTACTGTCACCCCTGGAACCCCCCGGCCGTACCCAGGGTCTCGTGGTGGGCGGGGTGGCCTCAATCCCTGCAGGGACAGTGTTACTGTCACCCCAGGGACAACCCCAGACCGCACCCAGGGTCTCGTGGTGGCCGGGGTGGCCTCGATCCCTGCAGGGACAGCGTTACTGTCACCCCCAGGACCACACCCAAGGTGTCGTGGTGGCCTCGATCCCTGCAGGGACAGGGAGACTGTCATCCCCGGGTCCCCCCCAGGACCCCCCGGCCGTACCCAGGGTTTCGTGGTGGGCGGGGGGCACGGGGGTCCCCCCCAGCCAGGCCACCAGCGCTGTCTTGCCGACGCCGCTCCTGCCCGCCAGGAAGAGTTTGTAGGTGACCGTGGGGACAGCCAGCGCGGGCGGCAGCGCCGGGCGCTCCAGCAGACCTGGGGAGGGGCTCAGGTTCATTCGGGGGGCTCAGAGCCGGGCTGGGGGGCGCGGGGCGGGCACGCACCGAACGTTCTCCGCTGGTTCTTGTGCAGGATGGAGTCCAGGTAGGGGCGGCCGGCGGGGGACAGCAGCCAGCCCGGCTCCAGCGCCCAGTCCTGCTCTGCCATGGGCCCCCAGACCTGGGGGACGGCGAACAGCCCCCCTTCCCCATGGGGTCACTGCATCCGCAGCTTTGGGGTCCCCTTCTGACCCCACCCCAGCGCCCAGCACCCTCCCCAGGGTCCATACATCCTCCATCGGCTCCCTAAAACACCCCCTGTGTCCCAGCATCCACCCATAGGGTCCCTGATACCCCCCATGGGGTCTGTGCCCTTCCTGTGGAGTCCCGGCACCCTCCCATGGGGTCCCTGATGCCCCCCATGGGGTCTGTGCCCTTCCTGTGGAGTCCCTGCATCCTCCCATGGGGTCCCTGATGCCTCTCTGGGGCCCCAAAGCCCTCCCTGGGGTCCCTACCTCCCTCCAGGAGGTCTCACCACCCTCCCTGGGTTCCTGACCCCACCACGGGGGTCTGTGTGCCCCCCTGCCACGCCAGCACCCACCACAGGGTCCCTGTCCCCTTCCCCATAGGATCCTTTCCCCCGTCCTTGGGGACCCTGCAGGGTCCCACCGCCCTCCCATGGGTTCCTGCCCCTATCCTCCCTCACAGCCCCACACGGGGTCCCTGCCCCCCTCAGTATTTCTCCATGGCCCAGGGTGTCCCTCACAGCCCCACACGGGGTCCCTGCCCCCCTCAGTATTTATCCATCCTCCCGGGGTGTCCCTCACAGCCCCACACGAAATCTCTGCACTCCCCTGCCCCCCAAATCTCTCCCATGCCTTGTCTCCCACACCAATTTTCCCGCGCGGGCCCTTTAAGACGCGGCCCCGCCGCTCACCTGAGGCCGCTTCCGCCTCGCCGTGACGTCACGAAAAGAGGGCGGGGCGCTGTGGAGACCACGCCCAGCCGCAGCCGCGCGTGCGCGGTGAGGTGCGGGGGCACGTGCAGTGACCCCGGTGATGTGGATTTTGGGAGGCCCCCACCCCCAGTTACTGACACTGGAATGATTTGGGAGGCCCCCATCCCCAGTTACTGACACTGCAATGATTTGGGGGTCTCGATCCCCAGTTCCCAGCACTGCTGGGATTGGGGTTCCCAGTGTTTCCAGGCTTTGGAGCCCTCACTCATCCCCTATCAGACACTGGAATGCTTTGGGCTCCAGCATCTCCCACACTGGCAGGACTTGGGGTCCCAACTTCCAGCCCCAGCAGGCTCCAGGATCCCCATCCCCAGTTCCCAGGCTGTGGGATCCCCATTTCCCAGCACTGGCAGGATTTGGGGTCCTTATCATCAATTTCCAGCCCCAACTGGCTTTGGGGTCCCTATCCCAAATTTCCAGCCCCAGCAGGTTTTGGGGTTCCCAGTTCCCAGTGCTGGGAGGCTTTGGCATCCCCAGCAGTCTTTGGGATCCCCATTCCCACTTTCCATCCCTAACAGGGTTTGGTGTCCCCCATTCCCAGTGCTGACAGCCTTTGGGTCCCTGTCCATAATTCCCAACCCTGGCAGGACCTGGGGTCCACAATTTCCTGCACAGGCAGGACCTGGGCTCCCCATCTCCAGTTCCCATCTCTGGCAGGTTTTGGGGTCTGCATCCCAAATAGGGTTGGGGATCCCTGAATTCCCAGCTCCAATAGGCTTTGGGATCTCCCGTTTCCAACCCCAACAGGCTTTGGGGTCCCCATCCCCAATTTCTGGCTCAATAAACTTCAGTGTCCCAAATCCCCTGTGTCCCCCTTTGCCTCCCTCCAGTGTTCCAACATCCCCTGTACAAATATTTCCCTTCTGTTACACAAAGACCCCAAATCTCCCCTTTCACCCCCAAAGTTGTGGCAGCACAGCAGGAATTTCCCCTCCAAGTCACTCCCACCCCACCCCTCCCCAAAAGCACCAACCATCCATTTCTTTTCCTTTTTATTTGTTAAACCACTAAAAATTCGTCAGGAAGGGGGGGAGGGACCCCCATGAACCCCCCCAAAATGTACACAAGATTTTAAATATCACCGGAATGGCTTCCCATTGCTGCGCTCGGCCCGGGAGTGACGGGGGGGACACCTGAGTCGCGGCGGGGGGACACCTCGCTCACAGCACCAGCAGCTCCCGCGGGATTGGGGACAGGGACCCAGATTTGGGATGGATCTCTCTGAAGGGCACAGAACATGCGTCTCCCGGCGGGGAACCCCGGCAGGGGAACCCCGGGAGCGGGGCAGGATGGAACTGGGACAGCAGCCCTGGAGGGGTGCTCCGCAGGGACAAGGACACCAAGGTGCCATCCATCCCCGGCTTGGACTCTTCTTGGGGGATGGATGACAAAAAACATGCAAAGGGGACGTGGGGATCGATGGCGAAGCCTTGACCGCCTTCCCCACGGCCACAGGTGGAGAAGGAAAATTCCACAGCTCACCCGAGGTGCTCCTGAGGTCTGGGGATTTTTGGAGTGGGGGGAAAATTGCCTTTTGCTTTCCCTTAGGACGAATCAAATTGTTCTGGGATGAACGGGAGAGGTGGGATTTGACGTGGGTTTATTTACAGAGGTGGGAACGCCGCGGGTGAAGCAAATCCCTCCCCGTCCCCACGCGGCTGGGATGGGATTTAAGGCTCCGACCGGCAGAAAGCTCAGTGGGAATGGAGGAGAAAAATTCCTGGAAGAAGGGACCACGTCATGGCGCTGCCGGCTTGGGGAGGGCTCCCTGGCTTCAGGGTGCTGGAGGTTGTTGACCAAAACCTGGCAGAATCCGCCCCATTTCCCCCCCTTGCAGGGGACAGGGAAGGAGGGGGTTGTCCCAGAAGGACGCACAGGTTCAATCCCTTCGGATTTGGATTTAATCTTTGCGGAAGGAGGCACGTGCAAAGATGAGGTGAAGTTACTGCCTCGAGGCTGCCCTCACGTTTACCAGTATCTGTCCTTTTCCCTGGAAAACCCACCCTGCTCCTGGGCTCCAAGGGGCTGCTTCGGCCTTGAAGGGGTTTGGGCCGTTGAATGAAATGAAACCTTTAAATCTAGAAGGGAATTAGCAGCCAAATATCTCTGTTTTGGGGGAATAATGGGATTTTCAGAGTATTTTTGCTGGTCAGAGGGGATCAGAGCCGATCCTGAAGCCTGATCCAGCAGGGCAGGGAGAGGAGGGATGCTAACAATCAAGATTTTTGGCATTGTGACACAAAAAAATGTCCTTTCCTCCTTCTTTTGGTCCTGCCTGGAGGACAGGGACGGAAACGGCAGGTGAGAGGCAAAATAAAAAGGCATCGTGTTTGTGTCGAGCAAAGGCTGGCAGAGCTGGGAGCTTCCCAGAGGAATATTGCTGTTTTCCTGACGGAGTCGAGCATGGAATTAATCAAGCTAACAGCCTCCTGCCTGCTGCAATTTGGGTTATTCCTATAAAACCACTTCTACTCACAACCACAAGGAGTTTTGGAGAGACCAAGACTCGCAAACACTTGGAGAATAAACCCAGGAGGATCCTGGCTGGCGGAATTCCCTGGCTGCTCACCCCGAATCCTCGGGTCCTTCCCCGCCTGTAAACACGACTCGCTCGCCTGGAGTCTTACTGGGAACTGCCGGGGCAGCACTGGAGGGTTTGCTTGGACTTTTATTGGTTTCCTGCTCCTTAATTCACAGTTTGAACGCCTGCGTGTCGGGAAGGGGCTGGGGAAGGAGGAGGAAGAGCCGCAGGGACGGAGGGACGGGCGGCGGGCGGGGGCCGCATTATCTCTTTGCTCGCACAAAGTACAAGGCATTTGTTTTGGGGTAATATTTGACGTTTTGTTTCTTGTCCATCAGGCCACCGAATATGATCAGCTCCCCTCGGCCTTGCACCACCGTGTGTAAACTGGTCTCGGGCGGCCCCACCACGGAGCTGCTGTTGAACACTTTCCACTTGACTCGACCTTGCTCCTTGGTGTCCTTAATGTCCAGCACGTACATCTGCATGGGCTTGCAGTTCATGCTCTGGTACAGGGGCTTGCCCACGTTCAGCGACTGCGGCGGGTGGTGCCCGAGGCGCCGGGCGATGGGGGGCAGCGAGTGCCCCTCGCCCTGGGTGGCACCGGGCCGCGCGGAGCCCGGCTCGGCGCCCGGGGACCCCGGGGACGAGGCCAGGGGAGGGCTCAGCGCGGCCGAGGCCGAGGCGGCTTTGGAGGAGAGGGCTTTGACGGCCTCGAGGCTGCGGCGGAGCGCGCCGGGGGACACGGCCCCGGGCAGGCCGGCGTGGGGCGGCGTGTGGATGCCGTTGGTGTGCTCCGGGGGGTTCCGCGTGCCCGCTGTCCTGCCCTCCGCGCCGTCCAGCTGGCACAGGAGGGACGTGGGCTTCTGCTCCCAGCCCAGCTCCACGGAGGCCAGGCGCAGATCCCTCTGCTCCGGCAGCGAGCCCCGGCGCGGCGCCAGGGCCGGCCCCACCTTGAGGTCGAACCCCTCGGCGGCCGAGGGGGTGCTGGGGGACAGGGCCTGCACGGGGCTGTCCAGGGAGGCCCCGCCGGGCGGTGCCGCCCCGGGTGACACCGTGCCGCCGTTGAGCACCGGGGAACTGTCCCCTCTGGCCGGGGACAGGCTGCCCTCCCGCGAGCCCGACGGCGTCTGCCTGCGGGGCCGCAGGGTGCCCCAGCGGCCGTTGACGCAGGGAGCCTCGTCCGTGTTCCTGACGGGAGACTGGGAGCGGAATTCCCGCGGCTCGGGCACCAGGGCGGGCGGCGTGGCGCTGATGGGAGACGGGCGGGAGTTGAGGCTGGGGCTCAGCGGGGCTCTCCCGCTGGGAGCTTGGCTGAAGACCACGACGCACTGTCCCACCTGAGGGAGAGCAGGGAACAGACGTCAGCAGGAGCCTTGGTGCTGGGGAGAAGCGGTTATGGAGCATTTCAGGCAGGGAATAACGAGGGAGGGGGGTGTGTGAGGGAGCAGGGACCCCCTGTGTCCGTACCCTGCAGGCAGGATGGCACCACAGCTCCGGGGCTCCGTGGTCCTCGTTCTCCACCTTGAGCGGCTGCCACGTCCAGGGGTTGGCCTGCATGTGCAGCAACCAGGCGTCTTTGAACAGCTGGGGAGGGAAGGGTCACACATTCAGGACTCTGGGCTGGCATTCAGGAGCCCAGGCTGAGATTCAGGAGCCCAGGCTGAGATTCAGCCCAGTTTGCTGCTGGGCTCAGCCCATCAGGGCCATGGTGGGAGCATTGCTTTGCTGCTGCAGACAGGGGATGCTGACCCAGAGCAGGAGCTGATCACCCATGAGTGACTACACCCCACTATGGCCATGGATAAATCCCTTCACTCCCATCTGCTATCCCAGTACAAAGTCAGGGCTTATCTTGACAAGCCTCAGTGAACCCAGGGAGCTGCTCAGAGAGCGCCTGGGGTGATTTTTATTAATTAAAGCAGCTCCAGCAACAGCTAAACAGCTTCTCTGGAAAATCTACCAGGTGGGTGCCCAGACTTGAGGAATAAAATGCCACCAACGTGCAGAGTCCACCCATCCCAAATCCAGCCCCCAGGAGCCAGGGGGATGGTGATGTCCCTGCTCCCCCAGGTACTCACTGCATTGGGACCCCCGCAGCCTCCCAGGATTAAAATGGTCTCGTTGTCTATCA